TTTTTTTTTTTTAGTTTTATTCATTTTAAACGGGCCGGATCCGGCCCGCGGGCCGTAGTTTGCCCACGGCTGCTCTAGCATCACACACACCTCCGAACCCCTTCCACAGCTGTGGGTGTTCTGCAACAACAGCCTTTGCCACACACGCATTGATAAAAGTTAGTGGGTTTCCGTGGGAGTCTGGAACGGGGCGCATAACAGCCGGTGAGTAACCGGCAAGTCATGCCCGCGGTGACAACTTGGCTTTGTTCTGCGGGAGTGTGAGAAGCCGAGTCAGGACACGGTCGCTCCCCGTGAGTGCTGGGAGAGGAAGGCCCGCGCATTCAAAGAGGAGAATGCTCTCTTTATCAGAGGCGGCTGCCAAGTCTTAAATAGTAAAACATGTAGGTGGACTTGAGCAAAGAGAAGGCCCTGACGTTTCAAAGATAACTGGGCCGGAGGAAAGAAAGAAGAGGAACGGACGGGGTTACTTGGCAGGGATGTACGCGTACCCCTGGAAAGGTGACCTGTGTAGGGCCTCCGTGTCCTCAGATCCTGACGGACGGGTCCCCACACATCCGCACGCTTGCGTTTCTGCTGAGCAGGCTTTCGGCCCCAGCCTCCCCTCGCACTTTCTCTGGTCAGGACACCCCCTAATGGGTTGCAGCTGTCCCATCGGGTTAGAAGCACGTTTCAGATACATCTGCCCTTCTTGCTTTTATGCAGAAAACACCTGCAAATCTTTATCCTTGGCTAGATTTACCACACATTCGGAGCTTTGAAATGTTGGTCCAGTGGGAAGGAGGAGCGTGTCACCACCCTCCTCCTTCGGTTGGATTCCATAACGGACAATAGCCTTTGGGGGAGATGTTTTCATTGTTCTTTCGGGGTAATAGCTGGGAACGCTTTAACAGTCTCAGACCTACTCAACCGGAGGCTACTTCATTTCTTTAATCCTATAGAGTCTGGGAAAAAATCTATGGTGGTTATGGGTGGACAGCTATAGTGTGTGTGTGTGTGTGTATGTTGTGTTTCTTCCTGATTTTCTGAGTCTTTAAAATATATATACATATATATATTTTATTGATTTCAGAGATGAAGGGAAGGGAAAGGGGGAAAGAGCTAGAAACATCAGTGATGAGAGAATCACTGATCGGCTGCCTCTTGCACGCCCCCTACTGGGGACTGAGCCCTCAACCCGGGTATGTGCCCCTGACAGGAATCGAACCCGGGACCCTTCAGTCCACAGGCTGATGCTCTATCCACTGAGCCAAACCAGTGAGGGCTGATTTCCTGAGTCTTAACAAAGATGAGACCACAGCACCAGGAGAGAAGAGAATGATGAAATGTTGGCAAACTGGTGAGGGCTTGGTTACAGGACCAGCTTCTTTGGATATGCCTTGAAAATACATCTGATGCATTTCCAGTAAGTTGAGTAAACCCCTCGAGGCCACAAAGAAAGATTTTGTAACCACTCCCTTTATGCATTTGATTTTTGGGGTGTTCCACCCCAGGACCCAAGGAATGACAAACGCCATTGAAATAGTTTTGAGATAATAACATAATGAAGTCATCAGTCACCTCCGACAGGTTCGGGAAGGAAACTCACATTCAGTGTGGTTTCGTAAGGAGGTAGGAAGCTTTGGCTAGCTGAATTCTCCCTGTGTAACATTGAGCAATACGTTTCATCTTTTGGGGTTTCCATTTTCTCCTCTGTAAAGTGAGGAAGATGGAGGGAAGTCATTTGTTTATTCCACAAATAATTCTTTTAAATCACTTTTTATTTTAATTTTTAAAATATATTTTTATTGATTTCAGAGGGAGAGAGAAACATCAATGATGAGAGAGAATCATTGACCGGCTGCCTCCTGCACGCCCCCTACTGGGGATAGAGACCGCAACCCTCACCCCCACCCCCCCATGTGCCCTGACGGGAATCGAACCCAGCAGTACTGTCACTTCCTGGTCATTTCCCATCATCCACTGCTGGTACTGGAGATTGGCTTATCAGCGGTTCTCAACCTGTGGGTCGCGACCCCTTTGGCGGTCGAATGACCCTTTCACAGGGGTCGCCTAAGACCATCCTGCATATCAGATATTTACATGACGATTCATAACAGTAGCAACATTACAGTGATGAAGTAGCAACGAAAATAATTTTATGATTGGGTCACAACATGAGGAACTGTATTTAAAGGGCCAGAAGGTTGAGAACCACTGGCTTAGAACTTTGCACCCTGCTGGATCTCCATTCGTTCCTGGATTTAAATGTTCCTGTGGTCTGCCCATCCTTACACTCCTGGGGCCTCATTGGGCTTCAGCTTCTCTTCCCTTTCTCATGTCTCTGTTCCTGCTTGGATCCTATAGAGACACCCACTTTCCTGACAGAAGAACCCCTTTGTTCCTCAGTCAGCCCTCTCCTGGCCTCCTTTCTTACCGGCGGAGTCAGAAACCCCTTTCTGTTGTTCAGATCACCCTCTCCAGTAACCTGTCGTTTCCTGGCACCGCTATCCAACGACCACATTCTAGACCTGGATCAGTGCTGTCACCAGCCTCCTCAGCTTCACCCGGCAGACTGAGTGTGGACAGGGCAGCAAAGCGGGGGCGTGCCCACTCACTCCAGGTCTCTCCTCCAGAGCCACACGTCTGTGGACACATCTCCTTTCATTTCCTTCAGCCATTTAGCCAGTGTACATGCACACCCAGTTTCAGTCTCTCTTCCTCCAGGCGTGGAAGGCGCTTGGTGAGCCTTCCCTCCCCCACCAAGCAAACCCTTTCGACCCCGTTAGTAAAATCTCTCTTTACGGTATCTTCAAAGTCTTCCTTTCATCTAGTTCTTTTGGGCTCAACCTATAAACTTTTTTTTTTTTTTTTAAATATATTTCTTTATTGATTTCAGAGAGGAAGGAAGAGGAAGAGAGAGATAGAAACATCAATGATAAGAGAGAATCATGGATCGGCTGCCTCCTGCACGCCCTCCCTTGGGGATCGAGCCCGCAACCCAGGCAAGTGCCCTTGGCCGGAATCGAACCTGGACCCTTCAGTCCGCAGGCCAACGCTCTATCCACTGAGCCAAACCGGCGAGGGCAACCTATAAACTTTAAAAAAAATTCTCACCAGAGAGCATGCTAGGAGGAAGGGAGGGAGGGAGAGAGAGAGAGAGAGAGAGAGAGAGAGAGAGAGACATCCATGGGAGATAGAAACATCAATTTGTTGCCTTCCGCATGTGCCCTGACCTGGGATTGAACCCGCAACCCAGGTATGTGCCCTGACCGGGAATCAAACTGGCAACCTTTCGGTTCACAGGACGATGTTCAACTAACTGAGCCACTGTCTCCTGTATTAAGGGGGAAAACAAACCACCCTTATAGTGGATTGTTATTTTTTTAAAAAATATTTTTATTGATTTCAGAGAGGAAGGGAGAGGGAGAGAGAGAGAGATAGAAACATCAGTGATGAGAGAGAATCATGGATCAGCTGCCTCCTGCACGCCCGACACTGAGGATCGAGCCCACAACCGGGCATGTGCCCTGACCGGGAATCCAACTGTGACCTCCTGGCTCGTAGGTCAACGCTCAACCACTGAGCCACGCTGGCCGGGCTGGACTGTTATAGGATAGATTCCCCCTCCCAGGTCTCCCAGGATTCACACCCTTGTGCAGTCCCCACGTGGACTCTGGGCTTGACCATGTCATCTGCTGTGTAGCAGGTGCGATGCAGCTAGAGGCTGGGGAAGTGCATGCACACTGAATTGACCTCCCTTGGATGATTCCCTTTTGGAGCCTGGTTGCCACGTCCTAAAGAAACCCAGACTGTCCTGCTGGAGAGAATGGCCATGTGGAAGGGGCCCTGGAGCATGAGAGACCATTTTTGGGGGGGTGGGGCTGGGGGTGGGTTTGAGGTATTGAGACACATGGAGAAAGAAGCCTCGTGTCCCAGTTAGCGCAGTCGGATGACTCACTCGTTGAATGTAGCCCCAAGAGGGACCAGAGGAGAGACCAGCGGAAGAACCGCTTCATTAATTGAATCCAGAGGAATCATAAATCCTTGTTTTCAAAAGTCCTAAGTTTTAGCGTGGTTTGGTATGCAGCAGCAGATACCCGAAACAACCCTAAGAACAAAACCCAGAACGAACGTTCCCTTGATCTCACACCGTCTCCACTCTTCTCTGCTTGTCCAAGCTTTTCAGAGGAGGCCAAACCTGTGGTCTCGATGCCTCGATTCCTAATGGGATGGGCACTGTCTCCACTAACTACCCCTCTCTGCTAACTTAGCCTCTGTGGGCCGAACTTTCCCTGGGTTCCACGCCTCATGCTCCCGGCCCTCCTCATTCCTCTCTCGCCAGATAGGTTCTACGTCAAGCATGTCAAACTCGTGGCTGGTGGGCCACATGCCTCAGGCATGTGAGTTTGACATGCTTGTCTGCATCCTCCACCTGCCCTTTTCTTTTTTTTAATTAAATATATTTTATTGATTTAAAAAAAATATATTTCATTGATTTTTTACAGAGAAGAAGGGAGAGGGATAGAGAGTTAGAAACATCGATGAGAGAGA